ATGGTCTTCTCGGTGTCATCAAAGCAATAACACCATGGTATGCGGTGGGTGCAGCGGCAGCTGCCCGTCGTCATCGTGTCTCGGAGGCTGGGCGCTTATGGTCCGCCGAGAGCCCAGCTGGCGAGCAGTAGACGCCGCGTCCCCCTACAGCAGCGGCGCCGATGCACCAGCGGCTGCCATCAGCGCTGGCCCATGGTCGTCAGGACCAGCATGCAGATGGCAGCCATCTTGAGAAGCAACGGCGGCCATGCTTGGTACGGTCTAGCTAGCTCGGAAGACTGTGCTGTGCTCCCAGCAAGTACGTACGTGTATGTGCGAGGTGCAAGTGCGAGGTGTCGCTGAAACTTGCTCCATTTTTATATATAGACAAAAACACGAGCCGAGCAACCGAGCTAGGTGTTGGCTCATTAACGACGACCGGTGACTCAGCCCCTAACGTGTTCGCTAGATATATAGGTACGTGTTCGCTAGAGATCAGCTCCCTTCGACCTGTTGGGGACTTGGGGCTGCCCTAACAAAGGAATACTCCCATCTTTGTGAAAATAACTGTATATCAGTTTCCCATAAGCTTTGCCATACCGAGTACTGCTATCATATGGAAATAATTGTAAGTCAGTTCCCGCTAAGCTTTGCCACACAGATTGCGGAGTGGTCTTTTCCGTTGTACCGAGTTAAAGAAAGATATCCATGAGCTCATTAATTTCACTTTGCATGGGAGATGGGAGACACCAGGCGAAAAAGAAAGGACCCAGTAAATGGGTTGCTTGTGTACACAATAAAGAAACTGTGCATGGATAAGATTAAGAATATAATGTGGGCATTGAGCTAAGATATCTTTTCACAGATTAAGGCAAAAATGGCATACCTATATATGCTTCTCAATGCGTGCCTGATGAGCTCCTGCATCCCAATTTTATAGGTGCCCCAACAATATCTCCTTTTTCTCTCGTTATATATGGCTTGGTCCAACCTCGGCATGGCTCTATTAATTTCATATGTTAGTTCCGTAGCTGTAAACATTAGAAAGGGATCGGAACAGGTAAAAATGGACCAAATTTAACTTACGTTGATCTCCTTTGCAGTCCTGATGATAAAGATATTGGATTTTCTGCCTCTGCTTCTTTATAAGAGATTTCATCTCTGCTTTCAACAATTGGCTTTTCATTTTCAGGCTGCACCAGCAAGAACATGATAATAATTATAACAAATAAGGAGTGTATCCAATCTAAAAGCTATAACATAAGAGATAAAGGTTCAGATAAAAAATAATTGACAACATATCGTATATGTTGAGATTGCTTTAAATTATATGAAGAGCAAGCAAATGAACTAGCTTAGGCATGATAATGGAAACAATAAATGAGTGAGTACAATAGAAACATACCACTGAAGCAGCAATAGCCCAGAAACATGTAAAGGGAACAAATTCATCAGAAACATGTTCTTCTGATCATACAAAAAATGTAATAAGCAGCTGCTGTAAAGTTTAACTGAGGTAAATGACTGCTTTGCTACACCAATTAGTAAGACCACCGAACCATCACCATTTCCACGTCATGCTCCCCATCCTCGACAGCGCCGGCGCCGGCGCGGGCTCTCCTGGCCACGGCGGCCGCGGCCACGAAGGCCGTCTCCACCCCTCCCTCCCCTCCTTCCCCCCACGTGCTCCCCCTCGTCCGCAGCTGGGGCCTAGCGCCACCGCCGCCACCACCTCGGCCTCCCAGCTCGCAGAAGCCGGTGATGGGGCACTATTGCCGCCGCAGACCTAGGAGGCAGCCGATTCCCGTGCAGATGGGCCCTGGGCAGCCGGATCCATGGCCGCCAGCGATGGAGAGGCCGCCGCGCGGCAGCAGCCACTGCTGCCGCCACGGCCCATGACGTCGCTGGAGGAGAAGGTGCCAGCGGAAGTCGGTCCCGAGCAGCTGGCTGCCATGGGCGGCCCCGGTCCGAGCTCGTCGCCGTCGCTTGAGCCGGGCACCGCGGTCGCCGGCATTGGTGCGCCAGTTGTGCAGCCACCGCCACCCATGTCACCAGCTCGCGGCCAGGTTGCCGCAGAGGCAGCCCCGCACATCCAGGCGGCGACCGGGCCTGTTGTTGCGCTCGCCCAGCCGGTGGGCTCAGGGCCCCGTGCCACGGGGGCCGGGGCAGCGGCGCTCTTCCTGGAGGCGGCCTCCAGGCATGGCTCCGCGGCAGCGTCGTCGTCCTCCGCTGCCTCCGACCTCGACGCCTTCCTCATTCACCCGTCCGCCCCCGCTCCGAGCCCATCATCCACCCTATCCCCCAAGCTGCCCACTTCCATCCTGGGGGTAGCGCGACGAGACGCTCCAAGGCTTGTCGTTGGGCGGACGACGACCTCCTCGATGACTCCGATGCGGAAGAGGTGCAGACCACCTCCACGACCCCCTACCTGGATGCGGTTCGTCAGGAGCCGCAACCGCCGAGGATGTCGACGCTGCCTGTGATGTCCCTGCCGTGCACTCAACCTCTGACGTCGGGCCATGGCGGTGCGGCGGCAGGTCACCAGGATGCTGGGCGAAGGCGGTCGAAATGCAGTTGGCCGCGCCCACAGCTGTTGTACGGCATGCCGGCACGTCCGAGCCTCGGCGCCGCCGAGGGGTCTCCGCCCCCAACGCCGATGGGTGGAGGGAGATCCTCCACCGGCAGGAGGTGCGACCTGCGGCCACCTCGGCTGAGCCACGAGGGCCAGCAAACGGAGGACAGCTAGCGAGTCGTTGACCACCGAGGCGCATCCCGACAATCTTGTCGGCAAATGCCTCAATTGCCTCTCCTCCACGCATTGGGTGGCAACCTGCAAGCTTCCCCAACGATGTCTGCGGTGCAGGGAATTTCGACACATTGCGCGACTGCAAGCAGCCAAGGCGCTTGGGCTCTCGAGCTCGAGCGATGCAAGAGCCATGTGTCGCCAGCCACAGCACCCCGCCTGCTCCGTTGGGCCGGCGGACCATGGTGGCTCGCAAGTCTCAGGTAGGGTCAAGTCGGCCAACGCCGTTCCTGCCACCGGTGGTCGCCGGCGCCGAAGGCGGAGGCGACGCCGAAGACGGAGGCGTCATGGGCGGTCAGTAGGGGCCGCACAGACAGCTCCGACCTTCACCTTGGTTGGTGCAGAAGCTCAGCCTAGGCACAGCGAGCTGTCCAGCGAGACGGGCAGTGTCTAGCCTGACCCGTTGATGCTGATGCTGTACCCGGACGCCACGTATGGTCGCGACATCACAGAGGACCCAATGCTGGAGGAGTTCGCAGCCTCACTCGCCAGCAATCGGATCGTCGCATGGCCTTCTCTTGAGCGCTAGTTGTCACCTCCGGTGGCCCCCCAACTACAAGATGAGGCCCCGGCAGTGACGGCCCCCAGCTGGAGGATGAGGACCCGGCGGCAGTGGGCTCCTGTGCATTATGGACACCACCTCCGCACCCCATTCACTGGGCAGTGGACTCACCGAACCTCACGGTGGACGCTGGCCCTCCCAGTTCACCGCCGGTGGATACCCACCTAATCGAGGGCAGCGACGACTCCGCCAAACGCTGCCTCGATAGCTTCATCAACGAAGTGACGCGTAAGAGGGACTCTCCACTAATTCGTGAGCCTCTAAAGTAGCCTCCTGCTAAGTCAGTGATGCCGTGGCGGAGCAGGCGGTTGGTGGCTCAGCCCCTCTCTCGAGTACTTACTTCCAAGTGAGGTGAGGTGTTGATCATACATCGTATGAGCTTCACCAAGGGTCCATTAGCACCATCCGCGTCGGAGCTGGCAGCCTATGACAAGCTCTTCGAAGGCGTTCGAAGCCGAAGCGCTGGACGAGCTCTTCCCGGCTGTTCGGTCCAGGCAACCGCGAGGGCGCAAGGCCACCTCCTAGGTCGCACCATTGTGTCGGTATTGGTTGTTTCCTTTAATGTAATATCGAATCTAGAGGTCTCTTGCTAGGATGGTCCAGCTACGGCTGTGTTAGATTGACCTCCTTCGGCACTCGATATAAGCGCATTGTATGTTTGTCTAAACTCATCTACTTAATACAATGATACACAAAGCTTTTGCGTATTCGAGAAAAAAAGACCACCGAACCAAGTATAGGACTGTTCATAAAACAAGACCAAGCAATAGCCCAGAAACTGTTATCATCAAAATGATGGCCATCAAATAAAATATTGCAGGAACTTGTAAGTGCAGGAACTACAGAAACAATTTTCACAATGCTATTTTCACCGTCGGTCTCTGGAAACCGTTTTCATTATAATGGAACCGGCAGTGAAAACCCTCTTCCAGGCCTGAAATTTGAAACTCACTGGATTTAACAAAGTACTTTGCGTCACGACCTATCCTCTCCTTAACACATCTCTCTCTCTCTCTCTCTCTCTCTCTCTCTCTCTCTCACACACACACACACACACACACACACACACACTCACTCACTCACTCACTCACCGTGTAAACAAAATTAAGGTTATTTTGATAATGATAATAAGCACCTCAATCCTCACTATATTCTTGTCTTTTTGGGGCCATTTTGTCACTCGTAACAAAAGGCTAGCTACCAATTTACCAACAAAATGAACACTCTCAACAAAAATTCAACGGCAGCAATTCAGCTGGTGGATTAATTTTCTTTGTGACAGATTCCGATTTTTTAAATGCCGGACAGGGGGCGGAAGGAAAGATCGATTGCATTGCATGGGCGGCCTCTTTATTGAAAGCAAAACAGCGTTACTTTGTTCCTTACAAGGCGTACGTACAGCCGTACACACAACACTGTGGTTGCAAGCCTGCAACAGCAAACAAACCTAGCTACGTACGTACGTGCATGCATGTAGCAGCATGCATCCCTCGATCGATCTATACGTAAGTAGTACCCCGAAGGCTAACTACCTTCGATCTTACGTATATTTATTGTTCGACAACATACATAGACACACGGCAGGAATGGTACGCAAGCACCATACCGCACACCTTTAGAGGCCGCATCCATCTGCATGGTCTTCTCATGAAGATTTCAGATTGTGGCAGCGCTGCCGGCGCCAAAGCAACACCACGGAGTCACGGGGTGACAGGGGCAGTTCTCCGCCGTCTTCTGCAAACCGGAGCAACACCACATAGTCCATGGGGTGCAGGGGCAGTCTCCCGCCTTCTGCAAACCGGAGCAGCAGTGTGGTGTCCATGGGGTGCAGGGGCAGTCTCCCGCCTTCTGCAAACCCCTGCAGCACACTGGTGAAAACATTGGTGGCGGCAAGCAGGGGCAGGGGCCCGTCTTCTCGGAGGCTGAGCGCTCATGGTCCGCCGAGAGCAGCCGGCGAGCGGTAGGCGCGGCGTCCGCCTGCACCAGCGGCGCCGACGCACTAGCAGCTGCCATCAGCTGGCCCATAGTGGTCAGGAGCAGCATGCATATGGCAGCCATCTTGAGAGCCGCAGTAGCCATGGTCTATACCTAGGTAGCTTTGGCAAGACTCTACTGTGTCCAGCAAGTATATGTGCGAAGAAGTGCAAGGTGCGAGTGCGAGTGCGAGATGACACTGAAACTTCTTGCTCCATTTTATAGGCATAAACGCGAGCCGAGCAACCGAGCTAGGTGTTGTTGGCTCATTAACGACGACTGATGAATCAGCCCCCTACGTGTTCGCTAGATAGCTAGGTCTCCCATGCATGTTTGTTAACTAGCCGCTGGTTGACCAGCAGAGGCATGGGCGCATGCATGCCACCTCGTGCTCTCGTGCCTCGATCTGCATTAATAATGCAGCTCTGCTCGCAGATTAACATCAGTCACGGTTTTTCTATGATCCATCCCGATCGAGCAAGCAATAATAATTTGGACGATAACATTGCTTTGCTTGTTTTAAAGCCAGCCATAAACAATACTCACAGTAATACTACAGTGCCCGATGAACAAATCCATTTTTAACGTTCTACAGACTCTCTCCAGTGCTAAATAAAGTTCGGTGCACTCATTGTATCTTTCCATGGGTGAAAGAGAAACCTTGCTCAAAGACCCTCTTGAAAAAACTATGATGAAATTTTCTTCTGGGCTCACAATATCCTGTGTTCTCGACAGGGACGGATCTACCAGTGGATGGCGGGGCTCAAGCCCCCCTACCGCCGCGGATCTCATGGAGTTGAACCTGTTTGGCTAAAAGATGTGGAACAAAGCTGAAAACGTAGATTGGAGTAATCCCAAACACCTCTAAATACTCTGGTAAAACTTGTTGTTAACTGGTCGGAGTTCTCATGTGCCGTCCTCGGTTGGGGCAAGTTCGATCAGACCCCTGCCGTTTGGGGAGGACCAAGGAGGCAAAAGATATAAGGAGGTTCACCGTGCAGAGCGCCGAGGATGGATGCCCTTACGAAGGTCAGACCATTGCTTCTGGCAACTGGATGTTCTTGGTCACATAACAAGCTAGGTCTGATGTACTGATTCTCGCTGTGTGCTGTGACCTGAGGCCAGCTGTTGACTGTGGTGAGGTTGTCGGTTGTGTCCTGTCTGGACTGTGTGTGCTATGCTATGCCTCTGACTCTGATGAGAGGCCAGGTGATGAATGAATAAATAAATTAATTAATTAGCTTAATTTACTGTCCCTAGCTAGTACTCCTACTTCGCATTATACTGGTCGTTTTATGAACGAAATTTATTACTACTGTATGTACTCCTTTGTACGCACAGTATGTACTGCGTCTTCTCCTAGCTCCGGACCTCCGGTGTCCGGTGGTCTAATTCACAGTGGTTCTCGACTTAATAGCTTCATCACAATATATAATGGTTCCTCTGTCTCCCACAAAACTTGCAATTTCTGCCAATACACCCCACCCTGGCCCACTCGTGGCAATGATCCATGGCAACATATTATACCTGATGAAGATCAACTTCCTTAAAGGAACCATTCAAACGTCACTTTTCTGCAAATACCTCTGCAGCTTAGCTCGACACGCCCTAGAGCCCCTCCTACCGCCGCTGATCCCATGGAGCCCCCTAGAGCCCCTCTAAGAATTTTTGTCATGGCTACTTTGAGGAGGAGAGGCTAGAGACTGAAGATGACGACGGGTTCTCGACAAGATAATAATTGTTGATCATAATTTCAGTTCACTTTGCTCTTCCATATTTAATTTTGTCCATATCTTGTTCTGGACTCTGATTTTGATGATTGTTTGTGATGGGATCTATATAACTCACCTGAAATCATGAGATTGTATTAATTTTAACAAACTTAAATTCATGAGGCAACTGCAATTTGCTATTCTCTTTATTTTAGGCTTCGGTGGCTTTTCTTTTGATGTCTTGGGTGCTCCGCCTTTCATCTTGTATTGTCTTCAACATGTCCACCTAGCCTTCCGTTGAGGTGACTAATCCTACAATGTACCTATTTGCAATCACATGTCCATCTCCTTAATTCACAATACAACAAGTTGTATTCACATTTTCATCATTAACCACCAAAATCACACAAACAAGGTTGTTTGATCTCTTTTGCATGGACTAAACATATATTGATCATTTCGTGATGGAGCGGGATGTAGAGAAGTTGCTTGATGTTTATTCACTGAAGTGAGTTGGTGACTATAAAATCATCATTGTGTGTACTCGGCGGGTGGACTCCTTTCACACTCATCTCAACTTGGTGGAGAAGTTGTGGTTTATGGAGAAGGTGGTGTAGTTAACCAAACTACACAACGACAAAGCTCTTAGGTGGAAGGTCTAGGCACTATAGCCAGGATACTAACACAGACATTGTGGTGATGTACATGAGCCCCTGTGACAGGGGTAATCCGAAGGAAAAGGAGCTGGACACTAACACAAATATTGTGGTGTCATACACGAGCCCCTGTGGTAGGGGTACCAAAGAAAAGGGGTGGTTGACTTGGAGCAAATTCTTGGAGGAGCATTATAACACCCTCGGTGTTACACTGTACAGTCTTTTGCTAAAACACTGCATAAGCATCATATTTATGTGTGTGTATGAATTATAGTATGTAAATCAATTCCTGTGACTCGAAACGTTTATCGGAAACGTGAAACGGATGTTATATTTCATGTCGCGTTATATCGCTTAGAGTTCTAAACGAATTTTTATTGAACGAAAATGCTATAGAACGCATAGACGAAACTTTAATAAAGTTTGTAGTACAAACTTCGTAGGTAACGATGAAATGCCTGCCATCGTGAAAGGGATTCACTAGCTAGCATTGTTGGTAGCATGGAAATCGAAGTTGACGCAAATCCGAACGAGACTGAACCAAATTTCTTAAGTTAGAAAACGGTGTGACGAGGCTAAGTTTGGGAATTTTTATAGGAGAATCAGGTTCGGTAGTGGTATGGTCTTAGGGCTTGTTTTAGTAGCTTGACATACCATCTCGAGTGTTAAATAGTTCGTTTAGCAATTGAAGCATTGAGATGGATTTTTGGGACGCTTTAAAAAGCGTGCAAGACACGATTCCGAACGGTAGCAGCGTCTGGCCACGGTCACCGTGACTTGGCCGGCGTCGCCGCTCGCCACGCGTGCACCTGTGCGTGCTGCCGCGCGGGCTTCGCACCACCACTACCGTGCTCATGCACGCGCTCACGCATGCAAGCACCACGCACGCACGCGCACGCCGCGCCTGGCGACCTGGCCGCTCGGCCACCACCGCCGTCGTCGCAGGCCCGCTGCCCTGGCTAGTCCACTGCCACCGCTTCGCCATGCTGCTGACCCCGTGCGTTGCGTCACCGCGCTGTTGCTAGCCGTGGCCTCTTGTGCGAAGTCACCGCGTGCGCTCTGGCACCGCCGTCGCGTCCGCCTGGCCGCTCTGCCGCCTCGCGCTCGCCTGTGCGGTACCGGGCGCGCGTGGCCACACTTGGCCATGCCCGCACGTTGCCTTGCCGCGCGTGGACTTGCCCCGCCTGCCTTGCCGTCACATCGGCGCTCGACGCCGCTGCGCTGCTGCCTCCTCAGACCGGCGCCATCCACTGCGGCGCGCAGGGCCGAGCCACCGTTGTTGGTTTGCGGTTTATGGCCGTGCGGCCCACCGTCCTGAGCGCGTTGGCCGTTTCCCCATCGCCCTATAGCCCGTGCGTGTTTGTGAACCAAGTTGACAGCCATGTCCCGCCATGGCAGCGATGAGCCAAGCCATGCCTGTCCTCCCCTGTTCCTCGCCGGACCCGCTCCTCTCAATTCGGGTCAATGGAGGCACCTCAGTCCAATTAACCTTGCCCGCGGCTCCGTCGTGTAGGCAGCCAACCACCCGATCGGTGCACTTGTGTCATTTGATTCTCATGCAACTAGCTGTGTAATCATTTTGCTTGCAGACACAATTCTACTAATAAAGGAGCAACTAGTAGGTTAATGTGACAGTAATATAACTTTGCTACTTCACCCAACAAGTTTTATGGTTTAATGTGACAGTAATATAACTTCCAGATGGAGAATGTTCCTATATACTATTGGCCAGCCTTTTTATTTCATTTATGATACTACAGTTCATGATCATAAAGTAACCATGATATCAGATCTGCCTTGTTTCATCGTCGGTTCTTGTTGAAGGTCGTTACACTGAGTGAGGACAACAGGCCGGATTCTTGATGAGGAGAACAAAAGGCTGTTGTGTTTACCGGAGGAAGAGCGACGACGCCTGTCTGAAAGAAAGAAATCTTCCTGTACATCCACCACGTAAATTGGTAAACTTTGTTGTGTGCTAAGATGAATGATTTTGTTGCAAATACATGCAAGTAGTCTAGCTTGAAGGATGGCAGCTTAGATGACTGGGCTCTTGATTCCGATACTGCAGATTAGCCATTTCATTTGAAAACACTGAACAAACATGATTATCTTATATAATGCTTGGAACCAGCAAATAACATTTAACTCACTGCTGTAATACTACAGAAGTGATGATTTCATCTTGTTCCATCCTGACATATACTGGTGCAAAGATTATCCAAAATGCTCGACTACTTGTGGAAAAAATTGGAAGGCCACTGGAACTGGATATAGATGGCGTTTGGTGTGTTTTGCCTGGCTCATTTCCAGAAAACTTTACTTTCAAGACAAAGTGAGTAAACTACAGCAATTAAAAGTAATTCTCAAACAAGCTGTTTTGTTTTATTATTATGAAACTCTCCTATAGCTGCTCTCACTAATTCAAGGCTGGATCATCTATCCTAGACATTTCTGTTGAAATGATTGCCTGAGTTGGGTCTTGAGTGTAGTATTTGCTGGATTGCTTTTAATCCTTGTGGTTTCTAGCTTTTCAGTATGTGCTACTACTTGTGATTTGATCAAGGAGTTTGAGCATTGAAGTTACCGGGAAGCTAATTAAATAAACGTAAAATCAGCATAATTCCAGAATTAGTCACGACTGCGGTGATGGAGGCGAAGGTGAAACAGCGGGTTATGGCAGAGCCGATGTGGCGGAATCGAAGTTCCAAGGTTTGCGTGCCATCTGTTCGACGCATGTCCAGCGGCCTGTGGATACTTATGCGGTGAACGAATTGGACGCCCTATTGTTCTGCAGAGTGGACCGCGCTTTACACCGCCCATATGACTCAGAAGGCTAAGAAGTACCATGATGGCTTGGTGAGGCTTGTGCAAATTGGTCCTCAAGTGAAGCAGGTAAGAAGCACTACACCTTTGATGGTTGTTTCCGTGCATGTTCTGAAGATTGGAGATGATGCAGTTTATGTTGCTGATTAGTAATGCTAGGTTGTTTCAATAGTCCTGCAATCATCAGTTTACTAAAGTGTCATGTTATGTTCCCTGAACTGAATGCTCAGATTGCTTTGCTCGATGAAGATGCCCAAGTACTGTGCAGTAGGCATCTCAAGTCAGGGGAATCCGTTGAAAGTGGGAAGAAATGCCATTTTCCTAATTATCTGGTAGATATTTGTGAGGCCAAAAATCAGAATAAAGGTAACTTCATAAATGCTCTAGTATAGTCACGAAGCTTTTAATTAGTCCGTGGGCCTGCACCTCATGAGACTTCCTAGTTTCATTTTCTCAATTACAGAATGATGTATAGCAAGCATTTTCTTTTCTTTTCTTTTCTAACTCACTGAATGAGTGCTACTGTGGCTTGATTGGTATGCCGTATGTACATGCAGAGCATACCTCAGAGGAATCTATGGTGCACACAAAACCAATGAATGGGAAGAGTACAAGTAACAAGATGGGAATGGGTGCATTGAGTAAATCTCAGAAATTTATTAGTCCACACAAATTTCATGGTACTTAGCTATATTCCACATCTTCCTTCTCAGTGCCATGAGAATCTTGTTTTTTCTCTGTAATGTGTAGATCTTGAGAACACTGACTCAGAAGTCACTGCTAGCTCTGGCAAGCCAGAGATTGACAATGCTGAAGCAGTGTCTGCTGACCAACCAGGGAGCCTTATCGAAGCAGATTCAGATTTCAAAGGTCTGTGTGTTAACACTACATGAGATATCTGTATTTTGTAGTATAATGAATTTTGAGGCTTATATAGTTTTATATACGAAATGTGCACCCTTTGTAGAATGGAATGCCTTGTATACCACCCAACTAACTCAAAAGGCAAAGAAATACCATGATGGCATCATAAGGCTCATGCAAAGTGGCTCACACGCAAGGCAGGTAAGGAACTGGTGTCCAACACTTTATTTTCCAAGTAGGTGTCCAACAATTCTATAGGAGGATGCTGTTGCCTGTTAGATTATCTAATGAAACGTTGGCTTGCTGTGGACCTATGTGAGTGACAAATCTTACCGTTGTATTAAATTTCTGTTTAGATTGTTTTGTTGGATGAATATGGTGAAGAGCTTGGCAGCAGATACCTCAAGTCAGTTGAATCTGTTGAAAGTGGGAAGAGATTCCAGATGCCTAACTATCTTATTGATGTCTGTGAGTTTAGAAATCAGAAGAATGGTTAGTTACTTAGTTATATTCCCACCCAAGCATTCTCCTTCTGTTCCCAATGTGTAGATACAAGATGCTGCACTTGTGCAAATAGGTAGCCTAAGCACCTCTTTTTATGAATTGCACATACTTTCTTCACGTGTAGAGCCTAGACACTCTTCGAAGGAGGCTTTGAGTCAGACAGGACTGAGAAATGAAGAGAATACAAGTGACAAACTGAGTGGAAAAAGTAAATCACCAAAGTTTGTTAGTCCATTTAAGTGCCAAGGTACTTGTTTGCAAAGTTCTGCAACAAATAATTTGCTTGCTGTATTATAGGATTCATTTGTCTTCGAAATCTGCAGATCTTCGGAAGAGTCACTGGGAAAGCACTACAAGCTCCAAAAGGCCACAGATTGGCCCAACTTCCAGTAACTTGGATGCTCCACCAAATTTCAATGGTACAAGAGCTTAACATTAAGCCCCATTAGTTCTATTTCCTGCCTCCCATAGAGCTTAATATATAGTTCAACTACAATCCGTTTTCGGTACTTTCAGATCCTTGGAGTAAATCAGACTACAATGTCAATAGAAGGGCTGACTGTAGTGAATCAGCATTTGGTATCATGGATGATCCTGATGCTGATGGGCTGCAATTGCATATTTTTCAGTGAGAAAAAAGCTTCCTGGAAACTTGAGATAGGAGCTGTGATAAGAAACTTGAGATAGGAGCCGGTGACATGCATCTAAAATGGAGTGATTCCTACTTTTGTAATAATACATCATACTGAAGTATAGTAACTTCATCTGATCATGGATCTATGTTTCAGGTTCATGAATGAATCTATTTGTATGAGAAATGTGCACAATGATGTTACTTTTGTATTAATTTGCAACCAAATGGCCTTTTATTTTTTTAAATGCATTTAAATGATCTCGTCAAACCATCTGTCGCTAAAAACATTTGTAACTTCAAATTGTCTGTCGCTATAGAGTACTGGCAGACTATCTGTCATTAAAGAGTAGCAGCAGACTATCAGTCGCTAAAAAAATTCAGGGCAACGGACTGTCTGACGCAAAAAGTACTGTCTGATGCTAAAGATTTTTAGCGACAGGACTTACAGCGTCTGCAGAAGTCTGTCGCTATAACTTTTTAGCGTTAAACTGTCTGTCGCTGTAGCCGCTTTTAGCATCAGATCGTCCACCGCTAATCTTGGTGTTGTGGTGTAGTGCAACCCCAGCTTGCAGTGAGCCTTGCGTGCCACGCTCCAATTTGGAGTTTCCTTCCCGCCGGGTCAATAAGACCGTGTCGGTATGCGTCGACGGCAAGCCCCCTCTCCAGAGCTGCTCGCGTTCAATTCGTTGCACCGCTAACTTTGCCTCCACCTGCTCATCACCCTGCGCACCCTTGCCAAGTCTCTACCACCACCGAGCCTCCCCTGACGTAGCCTTGCCACTGCCGTGCACCACCGCACCGTCCGTGCGCACGTGACCAGCTTGGCTCGGGCCGCCTCCGGTCGAACCACCGCCTCGATTGGTTCCGTGGTGAGTGCCTGGAGCTCACTAGCTACCCTATTTACCCCGGCGCTGTTGTAACTCACCGGAACATTACCGTTTTCAGTGCAGGAGCTCCGCCACCGTGGTTCGGCCTTACTACGGCGTCCCAGCTCGCGCTTCCTTTGCCTAGTGCTTCGCGTTCACACCTAGGCAGGTATCAGCTTCGTAGATAGGGCGGGGAAGGGCTGGTCTAGCCGGCGTAACCGCCCGGTGCCAGCGCCGGTGCACGCGCGGGGGCCCGAAGGTATGGCTGTGGTAAAGATGGAAAGGGGGAGGGGCGTAGTTGTAAGATAGCAGACTGGTAGAATAGTGCTTTTAGTGCTCGCATGATTATCGGGTAGGCTAAGGGCGTTTTCGCAAGATGACCGGCACGCGCGGGTCCTCCCCATCGCGGGCCGTCGTTGCGCGGACTGGGCCATGCCCGCGTGGGCCGCACCATGCGTCGTGTGCGTGCGCGTTGCGCCAGAGTGGGCCAAGCCACTCGCGCTTTGGATATGAATGTTATAGCGCCACTTTTAGATTTTTCAATTTCCAGTGAAGTATGAATGTTGATTCAATTTAGTTTTGAGCTGAACTTTAAAAAATAATAGTAAATTCTATAGATGTCCAAAAATAGTGAAACAAAATTTGTTAGGTTCACAAAAATGCTATCTATATGTTAGTGTAGTTAGTTTACAGTTAGCTGTGATAATGATAGACTCATAAATGCACTTTAGAAAGCTTAGTATTATCTAGCTTAATATTTGTATGAATTTTTGTGGCAAATTGATGATAGCTTTAGCCATAAAATTTTTACAGTAGGTTCATTAGATTATTATTTACTCACTATAATTTTTATAGCCCTAGAGTAGATTGATAAATAAAGTAGCTAGTACTCCCTGTTTTATCATATATATAGAGTAAATCGGTATTAAGAGGAAGAATACCTTTAGTTGCTAAGATAATATATGTCATGCTTCATACTTGTTAGTGGTAACAGTAGGTAACTTAGTACCTTAGTCGGTAGAACTAGCTTAGTAGCTTGATAGAGGTATTTTATTTTAAGAGTTGTTGTTGCCGTATTACTAAGTGTTGCATCATCATTTCATACATGTAGATCACGAGTTCGTAGAGCTCGTTCCTGTGGACGAATAGGACTACGAGGAGGTCATTGAGGAGTACGAGGAGGAGATTCTCATACAGGAGGGAGCCCCGGAGCCGTTCAGTGCTGACTTTGTTGACCCACCACCTGCCCAAGGCAAGCCCCGGTGTATAACCCCTATTTTTGAATGATTACTGAATATATATATGATGTGCATTTGCATTACAGGCATTTTATGAAAACTACATGCATAGATATACTTACCTATGAGTCCTACTAGTATAGGTCGAGTAGCTGCTATGCTCAGGGTATCGGTAGCGTGAGTAACCTGCTGTTACTCACAATAGGTGATAATTATGATCACTCATGATAAAATGGTGGAAAGGAAAAATGGTGACTGGGCAGGGATATGGTTTGGGTATTGGTGGGTGTAAGAGGTTGTGCCCTGTGGCCAACAGGGCATAGCTTGTATATAATTTTTTTGCCTGCCTGTGTCGGTTAAGGACCTGCCATTGCACAAGTCTCTAGGCAAGTCACAGATTTATTATCCTGAGCACATACTTGGGTATGGGCGCAGGGAAGAGTTGTTGCTCTCTTGTCGTGGGTTTCGGCTCTTTTCGGACCGATTGATTGGAGGCGGGGATGGTGGAGGTCCTTGCACCGCACTAAGTCCAGGACTTAGAAGCGGGGGCTTGGAGTCCAAGTTTGGACGGGGACCTAGACCCCGTGACAGAAGGGTGATGAGTTGGTCCTGCTTGTGCAGTTACCCAGCTGGGGGCATTGATTCACGAATCGTCGAGCAATCCGATATGGCTTGTCTATGGTCTAGCACCGTAGTAAGAACTGAAAGATAGAAGGTGATGAAATGAAACTGATTGCTCAACTCTTGCTTGAAAGTAGAACATGTGCTTACATAGAATGGCTAGATAATAAATTAATCAGGTAATGCTTGAGGAGTCTTGTTGTGTGAAGAATTCTTCTGGTGGGCATAGACGGATCCTTGTTCTTTATTGATAGATGTTTATTATCATTCCACTGTTTAATATTCCGCACTCTAAATTTGGCAATGTAATAATGAATTTCTAAGATCTCTGGATGTATGAAATGTACTAAGTATTGTAACTCATTCTCATTATTGGATCCTTAGGGAAAATGTTGACTCTTTGGGCTATCCCTTGGGGTGTGCCCGACGGAATCCACCCACTGTAGCTTGCTTTCGGGGTGCTTAGTGTCTGATGGAAGATGAGCGCCTCCGTAAGTGTGTTATTTTGGGGGGTTCTGCCATAGTTGGTACCAGAGCCAATAATGAGTTTACGAGTTTCATCACTCTTTTCTAAAATTTAAAATTTGACCAATAAAAGTTTTGCGAAAAGTAGGATGCGCTAAAATTATGTAAATAAGTATAAGCCCTAGCAATATGGTCTATCTAAGATAGCGGCACTGGTTTTATCTAATCAGTTTTCTGTAGGTACACAGACTTACGTTGCTAAGAAATCGCTTAGCATACGGAAAGTGAGTGTGCGATGTGCCGAAATCTTGCGAATGCCGCTATATTCCGGCTTGAGTGAGCGTACAGGCCGATACATGCATCATGATAATAGCATCTTGCTTAAACTAAAGTCCCCCTACACGTATAATTTGGATTAGTAAATTGATAGGATAACATAAAGAATGCTTTAATAAATGTCTTATCATTTCTCTAATCCCTTACTTCTGATCTGGAAGGTTGTCCTAAGTGGTTGGTTCTTATCTCTTATAGATGAATCTGAGGTCCAGACGTGGGAGCACCAGTGCCGGAGCGGGCCATGGTCTTGGCGAAGGCCAAGGTGAAAGTGGCCAAGCCAATGAGCACGGCAACGGGGAGAGCCATGAGGATCCACTCCTGGCTCCTCCTCTGCCACCGCCACCTCTGGTGACTCATGCAGAGATGATGGCGAAATGATGGTTGCTCGACGTGAGTCAGCCCATGCCATGAAGCTGCTGGCACAGGCTATCGGTGGCTTCGCCCGTGGAGGCCACGGGGGCAATGGTTGGAACGGGGGTGGTACCCGCGGTCCTAAGGGACCCTGCTCTTATCAGGATTTCTTAAAGATGCACCCGCCCACGTTCACACCGATGACTGAGCCTCTAGATGCGGAGCATTGGCTTCGCATTCTGAGCAAAAGTTTCTGTTGCTCACCGTGACTGATGAGCAGAAAGTGCGCTTTGCAGCGCAACAGTTGTTGGGGTCCGTGAGTGCATGGTGGGATACCTTCAATGCCATGCAGCAGCCAGATCACTGGGTGACCTAGCAGGAGTTCACTGCAGCATTCAGAGAATTTTATATTCCTGCTGGTGTTCTCAACAGGAAGTTGACTGAGTTCCTAGACCTACGACAAGGGAGTATGTTCGTGATGGACTACGTCAATGAGTTCAACCACTTATCCCAGTATGCTGGAACTCATGTGGATACAGACGAGAAGAAGAGGGACCGCTTCTATTGTGGCCTCTCTTGCATCTTACAGAAGGAGCTATGTACTGGGACTATCAGACTTTTAGGGTGATGATGAATGCTGCCATCGTCATGGAGGGCTTGCATCGGAATTCCCATGTAGAATGGAAGTGCAAGCGGGTGACTATGGGGTCTTCTAGTCACCCCCATACTCAGAAAGTACAGGTTATCAGGCGGGTGCCCTATCAATCTTCAGGCAGGCATTTGTTTTGCCAGCCTCAGCAGACTATTCAGGCTCCTTCCACGTAGTATCGTGCACCTACTCAATAGGTGCAACATCAGTAGCCTCAAGGACAGCAGGTTCCACCTCGTTTGGGATAGGGAAATAAGCCGGGTGCTTGTTTCAAATGTGGCAAGGATGGCCACTATGCCCGAGAGTGTCTGCAAAACCAGCCGGCCCAGTCTGCTCAGCCATCGGCTAACTCTAGGCTAGTCAAGTGGACGGTGATCAAGAAGAAAGTGCCAGTCAGCCGATCTAGACAGGTGAATTTCACGGAGGCTGAGCAGATATTGCAGAATGAACTGGTGATGGCTGGTATGTTCAC